AGGAATGAGGAATTTGTTTCATCTCAAAATACAGATATATACACACATACAAGCAAGCATTCCTCAGGAGATACAAAGAATAAATCTATTTAAATGAGCCTTTACTTTACTGTTGATGTAGAGCGATTGTAGTGAAAAAGGTAGTTTAATATTTTACGAGATAGTGCTTCATTGTACATATCCACATGTAAGTCTCGAGTTTTCCCGGGAGACTTCATTTAAAATTTCCTGGTCTGTAATTTAGTAGTTGTGAAGGTTGGAGCAGGGAGAACTCTGGAAAAGCTTTGGCATAGAAAATGTGGTTCCTTGCAACAATTTCAACTCAAGCAACTGTTGTACTTGGGGGGAAATATTTCAACACCTAAATCTAGTTTTACTAGTATGCTTTTTATTTATTTAAAATGAAATTGTCAGTTAAAGCTAAAGCATATGTCTCTGTTCAGATATCTCTAGAAGACATTCAAGCTTTTGAAAAGACATACAAAGGTTCTGAAGAAGAGCTGGCAGATATTAAACAGGCCTATTTGGATTTCAAGGGTGACATGGATCAGATCATGGAGTCTGTGCTGTGTGTGCAGTACACAGAGGAACCCAGGATAAGGAACATTATTCAGCAAGCCATTGATGCTGGAGAGATCCCATCCTATAATGCCTTTGTCAAAGAATCGAAGCAAAAGATGAATGCAAGAAAAAGGAGGGTAAGATTTTGAATGCAATTTATTATTTATATCCTGATTGCTTCCGAAGAGAATATGAGAGTATTTACAATAACAAATATATAGAAGATTACTGAAATGCGAATCAGGGTTAACTTATTAAATAGTGGTTGTCTAATGAAATGAGCATGCCAGCTCATCAAGAGAAACTTTTTTCCCCTAGTATGTTGTGGTCAACAGGATTTTACTATGTGTATGGTTTAACTAATATCTTTTTTTTTTAAACTAATATCATCTTAACACAAATATTCTTTATTCCTCAAGAGATAAATTAATGGAGTCCAGATAACATAGGTTAGACGGTGGTTCTCACTCGGTTAAGGGATGGGGAGAGGATGACAGAAACTTTTGGGGAGAGGGGGGGCACTGTGTCTTGTTAATACAGATTTTCTTTTGCCCTTGCCCAGACTGGTTCTTGAGTTAGGCCTAGAATATATATTTCTATACAAACGATTCAGTTTATTTTGATGCAACTGTATTCCCAAACACACTTTGAGAGAAACACTCTTGTGGTGAGCCCAGGATTGTGGCCTCTGTACCTTACTATACTGTGGCATTGGTAGAGGGAGGGTTGATGGCAGGGGAAAGTAATTTAGGAACAGCTGAGATTCTGGGAGGGAGTGGATTCAAGGTAGCAAACATCTGTGTGTCTGGTCTTCTGGGATAGTAACCATTGCCTCAACCTGGATTTCCTAATGGGAGCTCTGTGGAAAGTAGACAGTGTAAGATTTGGAGGTGGAAGTAGGTCTGCAGCTTTGATACAAGATACATACCAGGGGTGAGCTTGTGTGTGTGTGTGTGTGTGTGTGTGTGTGTGTGTGTGTGTGTGTGTGTGTGTGTACATATTTGTTGAGCAAGGTGAAATGTGTATCAAGGTTATCATTTTGGGGGTGCCTGGCTTGCTCAGTCAGTAGAGCATGCTACTCTTAATCTCAGGGTCATGAGTTTAAGCCTCATGTTTGGCATGGAGCCTACTTTAAAAAGTAATAGTATTAATCATTTGGGCTCATGGGCTATATCTGTTTAGGCTCAAGTTGACCGTTTAAGTTGGTAATAATTTTCTCTGGTGAAACTGAGCACAGCTGTATCCAGTAATAGGATATTAGCTTGAGAAACTTCCCTAGAATTGGGGGATGGGGGATGGTATAGTTTTGAGAGAGACTCCACCAAACCTGGGGAGTGGGTACACAGTATTAAAAGACAGAAATAGAATACAAGACTGAAAGTAGAGCATGCAAACTCTTTTTATTGGAATAACAAAATCCTAATGTATCATCATGCCCAGTATTAATGGTGTTCATTGTTATTTAGAAAATTTACCGGGGTTTGGGACCTATTATAGTGTTAGTTGTTGCCCTGAAATAAAGAACAAACTCATTAACCTTTCTCAAGATATTCTTGTTGTATTTTGGAATCAGTGCCCTAGGAAAATTTGGCAGAAGAAGGTGGCTTTGAAATCAGGTAAAGAAAGGTTAAAACTGAGTTTGTTAGTATTTGTTCTGACTACTTGGGAATTTTAAGCCAGGGTTACTCTCAGGGCTGCCACAAGTCACATGTAAAAAGTGGGCTTCCAGAGGAGAGGAATCTGAGATGCCTGTATCTTGACAACATTTTTGAGGGCATCCTTGGTTAAATGACCTTTCCTACTTCTAGTGTTTTGTTTTCATTCTCACCACCATGTGGCTTATGAATACCAAACTACTTGCTACCCCTAGCTAGTAGAAATGAGGGAAACTCAGAAATGCTTATTGGAATCAGGGGATCTACTGCATGCTGTCAGCTGTGTTGTCTTTTAATGAATGACATATTTATGTAATTGTGTTCTTTTAACCTGCATAATCCTCAAAATGAAAGGTTATTAATAGATCTGGTGTTGGGAAAGAGGGTATGTTTTTAGTATATGCTAAGTTTCCATGGAGTCTCATGTGAGTTTCTGTTTTAGGCTCAGGAAGAGGCTAAAGAAGCAGAAATGAGCAGGAAGGAGTTGGGCCTTGATGAAGGAGTAGATAATTTGAAAGCAGTCATTCAGGTAAACTTGACAGGTTGTCTTTAAAGGTTGTCACCACTTTCGTGTTCTGATTCCTTCTGCTAGTATTTTCATTATAGTGTATATATGATGTTGTGGGTATTTTGTTTTCTTTTAAGACATAATTTGCATACCATGCATACCATGTTTTCATTTTTTTAAAGTGCACAATGCAGTGGCTTTTAGTATATTCATCAAGTTGTATAACTGTCAGCACTAATTCCAGAACATTCTCATCACCTTAAAAGAAATCCCTTGCTCATTAGCAGTCATTCACCCATTCTCCCTTTCACCAGCCCTTGGCAACCACTGAGTACTTTTGTCTCTGGATAGCCTTGTGTTTTGAAAGCTTGTGTTTTAACTTCTTAAACAGAGCAGACAAAAGGATCGGCAAAAGGAAATGGACAATTTTCTGGCTCAGATGGAAGCAAAGTACTGCAAACCTTCTAAACGAGGAGGGAAAAAAACGCCTCTCAAGAAAGAAAAGAAATAATGGAATTTTCTCTTCAAAAGTCTTTAAGTGTTAATTGGTGCCCTTACAGGCAAGGTACAGTCAAGATTTGAAGACAAAAGTCAACCCCGCCCTTGAGAAAAATTGTCCTTCCACCCTAGATTATTCAGATCAATTCTGTAAACCACGCAGAATCTCTCAACCTGATTTTAGGAACCGTAGAAATCCCCTGACATTCTTTGAGGTCCTGTATAAAGGAGTTTAGTGGTGATTTTTGAGGGAATGGGGGTGAGTGGTGTATTCCTGGCAGCACTTGCTTCTATGGGTCTTCTGTGCAAGAAACTCTTATCTGGAATGTGGGTCTGTCCCATATAGCCTTTAGCAGTTGTCATTTTGGCACACAAGAGTGTGCACACAGCTGCAGAGTATTCAAAGTGATGTGTGTGTTTATTAGAACAGTAACTCTACCTGGCTAGAAAGCCTTCAAAACACTTGCTGGACATCTGTCTTTCACATATTTGCGAGTTTACTTTCAGGCTTAATATTCTTGAATAGATCCCCTTTCCTTTTTGTTTTACTCAGCCAGCTTTTGTACTCTGCTTGAAGTGTAGGAGAAACATGTTCAGATTACCTCAGGCATCTTTGTAAGACTTAATACCTGATGAAATAAACAGGTTAAAAAGGACTATTAAGTTGTGGGGCCTTTTAAATGATCTTTGTGATCATTTAAAAATCTGTAATCTAGAGAAACTATGGAAGGTGCTTAGAGAAGAGAGAAGAAAAATAATCCTAGTCAGCTTATTTATAGTAGTAGGTAGTCTGGTTTAAGTATCATAAACAGAAGTTGTCCTACCTGTAACTGTTGAGTGTTCTTAGGTCGTTTGTTTCCTCATCTATGAAAGGGTGAGGGAATTGGGCTAAGTGACTTCTTCAGAGGTGTCTTCTGACTCTACATTTGAAAGGCAGACCATCTTGATCCCGTGGTTTGTTACCATGCACTCATGGTATTGATTTGTGAGAAAAGTACAGGTTTTTACTTAATTTAGTCAGATCGGTATATAGTCATTGGAATATATGGAAATTTTTTTAGCAGTTGTTAAACTTAATATCTCTGATTTGTAGACTTACGTATCCAATACCATATGCATAACACAGCCCTTCTGTTACTGAGCTTTATGTATGATAACTGAGGTAAGCACATGAAACGCTTTCAGTTTGTGATTACACACAGGTTAAAAAATACTCTTTAATTTGTGTTGAAAATATAGTTTAAGGCAGGTTGTTCAAAGCATCTGTCTTCTTTATATGATAGCATAGTACACTTTGATATAATAAAAAAGATACCCCTATTTATGGTCACCTGAATTTATCCACTCTGAAGATTAACAAGATTTAAAACTTATAGGGTCATCAAAATTAAAGTTCAATGAAATTTAAATAAAATAAATTTAAGCCATAGTTAAAACCTGCATTATGCTGCATTTATGAATGTCCTCCAAAAAAAAGTCCATGGTGAAATCAGAAGAATGTTGAAGTTCTCTACTTCTGCTCTTAGGATATGTTTATACTCGACCAATTACCAGAGTTTCTGAAATTTTAAGACATTGCTGGCTTACCAGCAGATTCTATAAATTTTCAAGTTGACTTAGAATTTAAGAAGAAAATCTGATAAGGTGAATTTAATAGTTAAAAAAAATATATAACCACTAAAGTCCTTTAAGAAAAGCATAATCTGATATCAAGCAGGCATTGTGAGGTTGAGCTGTCCTGTCTGAAAATATATATACATTATGACTTATTACATAAGTTACTTTAAACCAGTGTTCAACATTTATGTCTTTATTACTCACCCCTTCCATACCTCTGCCTAGAAGATTGGACATCTAAAGAGAAAGCTTTAGGAATGACATCTGTTTGATGAGTAGCTCAGAGTTTTGACAGAACTGTCTCCTAAAAATGCCTTAAAAATGAGTACAACTCTCCAGAAATTCATACAAGTGGAAGTGTTCTGAAGCCAGTGATATAGCTTCATGTTATCAAACAATCATTTGCTGCTTTTTGTGTATGTATAGTCTTCATAGACTTATAGAATCCTATAATTGAACTGATCATCATTAACAGACAACATGAGCAGTGATTTGGGGGTAATTATTCATTTGTTACATTTTTGGATACAAATTCTGTCCAGTGGAGTAGGTTAACTTAATGCTGAAAGAAGATGGTAACTGGAAAAACAGTACCCATGTAATCTTTGGCGGATATTCTTTTTTTTTTCCTCAGTCAGTTACACCAGATTAACACTTCATGAAGATGTTTTAAGTTCTTTTGTATACAAGCTTCGCATCACAAGATGACTGGACAGTGATTCATGAAATTCTCTCATGTGTTCCCTGCAGCCTGAAGCAGGTTCTTCTATTTGCCCTATGGTCCCTGCTTGGTTCTAGAGACTGGTCCACCTCTGTTTTGAGATTTTGTAGACCCATGTAACTGAGGACCTGTCAGACAAAGATGACATCATAAAGTAACATTAGTAGACATTTTAGATTTGGTAATCTCAAATTTATATCTAAGGGCTTTTTTTGCTCCAATTATCAGTTGGACTGAAATTTGGAGACTGGTACTAAGTAATAAAGTATATATTTACCAAGGCAATAAGAACCACATTTACATTATTTTATCATGTAAACCTACAAGTCTGTATTAAGATATGAAACCTAGTTCTAGAGAAGAACCCACCAAGTAAAACAGACTAATATGTCTGTTTCACTTATCTAAATGTTATAACTGGCCATCAACATGGCTAAATGCAGTAACTATAGCTCAGAGGCAGCACTGTGTCTCTTTGAGGACTACTAATCCAAGAAAAGAATCCACTGAAAGCATTCAGAGACTGCCAAAAAATGCAAATAGGAACTGAACAAGAGAATTTACTTGGATGACAGATAATTTGAGGCAGATTATTTTTTAATCTTATTAACAGGAAACATTTCAACTGCTTAATACTTCCATATTTCACCTACAACATAATGAGAATGACCCTGATGGTGGTGAGAAGACCATTATAGGAAGATAACTTTTAAGATATCCTTAAAATTTCTTCTTTCCTATGAAAATACAGTCTATAGAATATGACTTAGAAATAAAAGTTAATGGGATAGGCTAAGACTCTGCATGTCTTGTCATTTTTAAATTTCTTTTCTTACCTTGGCCTAGCAGGTTAACTGACCATAGCAAGTTTATTCTACAGAAATATGGATCTACATAATAAAACCCATGCAGTGTTTGAATGTTATAAAAATGACTTATTTCACTTAAGTTTTTTAGATTGAAGAAAAGAAAGTACTGTCTATTTTGCCAGAGTGGTGAGAAGTTAATTTACATATGAGAAAACGAATCTGGAACTTGGCTCTGGGCAACAGAGGTCTCCTCGATCTTTATTATATGCCATTTCCAAAGGAATTTGAGATGATTTACAAATGTAGGAAAACAAAATATAATAAAATCTGGAGAAAGGGAAAATAAACATAGAAAACAGACAAAGGCAGGGTCTTAACATAGCCACATAGTAAAATAAGAGCAATGGTCCCACCTGTCACTGCAGATCCCCTACCAGGTCGGGCCTGATGAGGATACTCAGCAACACACGAATGATATTGTGTATCTGGCTGCAAAACAGAAAAGATGAGACACTTCTTACAATGGGACTTCCCCCAAAGGATGTATGTTAGTAGGTTTATAAAGGAATACCTTGAAATCAGACAGCAATGTAAATGGCATTGTCTGCCAGCTGAGGGACAAGTTGGTTGAGTGCACTCTTGTATTTCAAGTAAAGAATCCCAAGCCGGGGACCTACAAAGCCATTTGTTAACTTGTAAGAATTTTTAAGTTCTTCTTTTAAAAATTTCTTAAGTTCTAAAATTTTATTAATATGCCTTTAAGATAATTTTAGCACTTATAAGTAATCCATATGGTTTAATATTTCTCAATATTTATAATGGCTGTTAAGGGAATTTTATCTAATTTAGACTGCCTGCTGACTAAAGTTTAAAACAACAGAGCCTTTTCAGCAACATTAAAACACCCATGACTTTACCTCCATACTTGAAATGTGACTCTCAGTATGAAGTTCAAACATTTCAAAATCACCTCTGATAATTTAAAAATTTTAAGATATGATTAAAACACTGAAATGTAAATATAAAAAAAAACCAAAAAACACCTATCAATGCCATCCTGCTGGTGCTTCTGGAATAAAAAACATCCCTCTCAGTTCCCTGTCAGAGCACTGGAATTAAGACATTTCAGGAACCTTTTTTTGGTGAAGCCCCATTTTCTTTTTTTTTACTGGGGTCACCAAACTTCCTTTCTGGCGGGCCAGAAAGTAGATATTTTATGCTTTGTGGTACGTACTGCTAGAAACTGCTCAACTCTGCTGTTAGAGTGGGAAAGCAGTCATAGACAGTACATAAGTGAATGAGTACGGTAGCTCTCCTGTAATAACTTTATTTACAAAAGCAGACTAACTTTTGTGGTGAGCTAAATGGTCCATAAAAATAGTTTGTTCACCTGTAGGAGCAGAGTGCTAGTCTGGAAGTGCCAAGCCAGGGACTCAGTTATAATGCTCTCAGTTACATCGAGCAACTAGCTGATCTCCCTTTGCATGACAGCAAACTGGGAAAGACACAGCTAAGGTAAGAAATTCTTACTTTTATTGTTATAAACGTCAGAAAAAGAAGAAACTGAAAATTATATATAAATGTTTTATAGAGCATCTAGCTGTAGAATATAATCATGGAACACTGCTTTAACAAGTGCCCTGAATCAAATTATGAGAGGACAGATTTAATAGAGGTTCTCAAACTTTTCTAGAGTTCACATTGAGTAAGAATCAGAAATGCTCACATTTCCCTTTAGGTCACGTTTTGGTGAATCTCCCCCTAAATAAAGTCTCCTAAGGTCTGTTGAGTTGAAGTGTCCCCTCCTGCAGCTGCTGCCAAAATTTATGTCTACCTGGAACCTGTGAATATGACTATTTGGAGATAGAATTTCTGCAGATGTCATCAAGATAAGGTGAGGTCATATTGGACTAGGGTCAGCCATAAATTCAATGATTGGTATCTTCATAAGACGGAAATCTGGACACAGACACAGGGAGGAAGGCTGTGTGAAGGCATAGGCAGAAACTGGAGTGATGCAGCTGCAAGGCAAGGACGGCCAGGGACTGCTGCAGTCACCAGAAGCCAAGAAGAGGTGAGAAGATCCTCATCCATAGATCCTGTAGTGGGAGCATTGTTCTGCTGACACCTTGATTTTGGACTTCTAGGCTCTGGAACTGATAGAATAAATTTCTGTTGTTTTAAGCCACCCAGTCTATGGTAATTTGTTACGGTAGCCCTAGGAAACTAATACAACATCCCAGTAATTTATTGTTCTCACCACTCTCAGTGGAGGATTGTATATTGCTTTAGGCTGATATAGTTCAAAGCTTATGAGTTGGAATAAGTGGGCTTCAAATAGCACCATCCTGAAAACTGGTATAAGATGTGAGGCCCCTGGCTCCTGGGCACTGAGTGTGGCCCCATTCACTTCCCGAGGCTCTTCAAGCCCTCTTGCCACAAAGATCAGGTGGGGCTGAGCTCCTGGCCTACAGTTGGGCAAGGTCAGTGCATGGCCTCCACTCCCAACTCAGTTTTTCTATTATTTGCTTAAAAGGCTAGTAAATGCACATTAAATGGTAATGTAAGCATCTCAAACATCAAAGAGTTGACTTCTATTTTTTTTAGGTGAGTTACCTCTCCATGAGTCCACATCATAATCTGATACCAGTTTTGGTGTAACTCTGTAAGGGCAGTGTTAGAGAATGAGTTATGCTGATCTGATATGCACTGGAGTTTAACATTTTTTTTTGTTTGTTTATTCTCAGAAATATTTAATATTTAACAATTTAAATTGTTTAGAATTTGTGACTCATGTATAAGGCATTTTAACTTATTCTTTTTATGAGTTGAATAAGTGGCAGAGACCAGTTAGAATTTCAAAAAAATATACTACTAATGCTATTTTTATTATTAAGAACCTCAGCTTTTATTCTTGGAGTTGATTAAGCTACTACATGAAATCTTAAGTCTGCCAGACTAGTTTTTTTAATTTTCTTTCCCCAACTGTCAAGACCATAGAAGTATGTCACTTTACCAAAAATGACTGAGTAGTGTTGGGCCTGGAGAAAAAGTCAGGTAAAAGGAGCCTCTCCTGGGGCTGCTGATGGTTAGGCTCATCCACCACTGCACTTCGAGCTCGATTGGAGTCACCATGGGTTTTCTGCAGAGGAGACAAAAATTACAAGAAACAGTTAATTTGTAGTGAGAGCTGTACATGGCCTACATCACCCCAGGTAGGTATGATAACTGCAGGCCAAGCAGCTCCAATTCCATTGTCATAAATTAGGATTCAGTTTGTACTTTTGACAAAATGCAGTATAAATCAAGACCAGAACATGGATCTTGCACAATTGCTGGCCGTGAGGTCTCATAAGCACATGGAAAGGGCAACAGGAGAAAGACCTACCGTTTGCCTTTGTGACCCCACAGTGCTTAAGTGTTCCGCTTCAGCTGTGCCAATAGGTGGCAGGAGATTGTTTCGACTCAGGGGCATTGGTGAGGGAGAGGAGAGTGAGTCCGCCGCTCCTGGACTGCAGATCCCACCAGCAAACACAAAGATAGGAAAGCATAAAGTTACAACAATACAAGAGAACTAATTAGAACGAAAGAAATGAAGGAGATGAGTTAATGTCATGCACAGATGCTTTAAGCTGTTTATGTTTTTACGTAAAGAAATCTCAGTGAAAGGATTTTGGAAAATCAGAGTTTGGTTTTTTTCATAGTATTTTCATAGTATTTTCTGATTTTTGTTGAAACTTTATCCTGGGCACACAGCATAAGTTGAGCTCTTAGTGAAATTTTCCCTGTCTGGTGTTAACACTGCATGGTGTTAACCTGTTATGGATTTGTAATTTCATATCTGATGGAATTCTCCACAGTTCTGGGCCTTTTGATTGTCCTTTTCACTAATAACAGTAGTCCTCCCTTATCCACACTTATCCTCAATAAATTTAATCTATAGCTGTATCAGTATCAACATCAACATAATAAAATAGTTCTCACCAGGTGAGAAGAACCCTGGTGTCATGAAAGATTTGTGGTCGGTATAGACATCTCTTACTGAATCTATGGGGACAAATTAAAACAAGAAATTGAAAAATCAAAGTCCACGAATGACATGTTGGGAGAGAAGCATAGTGACATATGCTTAATTTAGAAGCTGAATTCAGAACACAGTTATAGCCATATTACCTCATACCCTTGATCATAGTCTTAGAATCAAACATCCTAATATGTTTTATGAATCAACAACTAATGAGAGAATTTTATTTAAAAAATTGGCTTCTAAATATTTTTTGCATTATGAGGCTCAAAGTGAAGTAAGGGTAGGAAAAGGGAAGAGAATATGTTTAGTGTTATTTCCTAAGAAGTGCTAAGGTTTATTTTTCCTGGTATGTAGGCAAGTACTTATGTGAGGTTAAAATGTTAATCATTGTCAGTAGAATAAGCAGATCCCAATGGTACAGAAAAATATTCAGAGGATCTATTATTTTGGGATGAATTTCACTGAACATATATCCACTAAGGAAGATGTTTAATAAGATACATATGTTTTACTCCTTAGAAAAGTGTCATTGAAGTATTCTAGCCATTTCATTTGTAGAAATATAAATCTTAAGCTAGACTAACAGAAAGATCCAATAGCCATATTATATTCAAATGTAACCACACCTTTTCTATATTGAATTTAAACAATCATGAGAATATGTAATGATTAATTTCTAAGCATTCATTCTGTTCATAAAATTCTTCATTAGTTTTATCACAGTTTCCAAAAATTCTGCTTTGAAACCTACACTCGGGATCCTCTGAGGATTTCTTCCACAGGCCTTGGCGTTCCAGCGCATGAATGGCTTGTGCTGATGGGATGAAGCGTACGTGGTGGGGGATTGCGTCTCCTGGCGGACTGCACTGTGTATGACAGAGCTGATGTGCTAAGCTCCAGGGCTCGATTTGGCCAATTTCGGGTTGAAAGGATGGTACTGGATCCAGGTCTCATAAGTAGCTTGTCATCAAGATCTCTAGTGGCCAAATCAGAAACCCACAATGAAATCAGAATTGCTATGTGTAGAGAAACAGGACTCAAAAGCTTAGAGTGTAAAATACATTCAAGGGAGAAAAAGGCAAAGTAATCTAGTTTATACAAACTACATAATCTAGTTCAGGCATGAGAATGTGTTCTGTTTTTTTTTTTTTTTTTTTAAGTTTATTTATTTTGAGAGCGAGCAAGCAGGGGAGGAGTAGACAGAGGGGAGGAAAGGGAGAATCCCAAGCTGGCTCCACATTGTCAGTGCAGAGCCTGATGTGGGGCTCGAACTCACGAACCATGAGATCATGACCTGAGCCAAAACCAAGAGTCGGATGCTTAACCGACTGAGCCACCCAGGCACTCTGAGAATGTGTTCTTAAAAGGACATCATTTTAGTCATACAAGTAATTTAATAGAATGGAGATTTGGGAAAGCAAATCCATTATTCACCTGCCAAGACCATGACTTCTTCAGTTACAGTGAAGGCCAACCTGAGGAGTACCTACACTAGAGTGCTTCCCGAAGTTTACCTCAGGGAATGCGATCCCCACCATATTTGAGGCATTCTTTGTGCCAAAGGAAAGACTTAGTTGAAAAGCAAATATTGCTGCTTGGAAGCAACGTGGCACCGGTGTGGCTCCCACTCAAATATTAAAATGCTGAGCTCGTGGGGCGCCTAGGTGGCTCAGGCCGTTAAATGTCCTACTTTGGCTCAGGTCATAATCTCTCAGTTCGTGGTTCGAGCCCTGCATCGGGCTCTGTGCTGACAGCTCAGAGCCTGGAGCTTGCTTTGGATTCTGTGTCTCCCTCTCTCTTACTCTCCCGCTTCTGCTCTCTCAAAATAAATTTAAAAATTAAAAAAAAAAAAAAAATGCCACGCTCGTTGGAGCCTGCGGGGGTAGGGGTTTGGGTTCCTTGGAAAGCTGGAAGCAGGCAAAAGGTCCAGAGCCGCCTGCTGCCCAGGGCACTAGGACTACAGAAGATCTCTATTTGCTTAAGCAACTGAAATAACACTTTTCTGTAAGTACTCTGATAAGTAAAATATGCCGAAACAGTTCAGTAGCTTAAACTTTGCCCTACAGATTTGGGGGTTTTTATTTTGTTTTTTTTTAAATATAGAAGAGACATTTGTGCTATAAGACACCTAGGAGAGCATTTGGACAAGGAAATGGAGGGAAAGTGAAAGAATTAAGCTCTGCCACATGCTCTTTTGGCTTTCAACAAGTTTCTCAAACTTTCAGGCCCTTTGATGTCTTGTTGTGCAAACTATACCTCAGTGTTTGGAGGACTGTGAAGGGGAAATACTCATCGAGGAATGGACTAAACCTTGAGCATTACTCACAAGAGATCTTGCTGGTCTTCCTGCCTCTGTAACCATTCACTTATTAGCCTTTCCACACCCAAACTCCTTTCCATTACAGAAGCTTTAGGCCTTAAGTGCTCTATGCTTATCTTTATTTTGTCTTCTGGACTACTCATTTATAATTTTGGATTCAGTATCACCTCTAGCCAAGTGACTTCTAGATCACCTTCCAAAGGTGACCTCTTCGATGTTGCCAGTGAGATGGCCTGGCATTATAAACTCAACACACCCCAAACCAAATTCATCTTTATCCCACAACGTTTCCCTTGAAACAAGTTTCCCTTCTCAGAGTTGACTTTGGTTCTTCTATTTTTATAGAATCTGATTTCTTTTACAGTAGCTCCTAAAATATTCCATTCCTTTCTTATCTTTTGCTACAACTTGAGTACAGACTTTTAGCAGCTCATGCTTGAACACACACACACACACACACACACACACACACATACATGCACACACACACATATATATATATAGACACACACATATATAATTATCTTATTTTTTTTAGCTTTTTTTTTTAACGTTTATTTATTTTTGAGACAGAGACAGAGCATGAACGGGGGAGGGGCATAGAGAGAGGGAGACACAGAACCCGAAGCAGGCTCCAGGCTCTGAGCCATCAGCCCAGAGCCCGACGCGGGGCTCGAACTCACAGACAGTGAGATTGTGACCTGAGCTGAAGTCGGACGCTTAACCGACTGAGCCACCCAGGTGCCCCTTTTTTTTAGTTTTTTAATGTTTTTTATTATTTTTGAGAGCGATAGAGTGCAAGTAGGAGAGGGGCAGAGAGAGAGGGAGACACAGAATCTGAAGCAGGCTCCAGGCTCCGAGCCGTCAGCACAGAGCCCAATGTGGGGCTCGAATCCACAAGACGTGAGATCATGACCTGAGCCAAAGTTGGACACTTAACCGACTGAACCACCCAGACGCCCCCCCCCCCTTTTTTTTTTTAAGTAATCTCTCCACCCCAGCATGGGGCTGGAACTCAAAATCCCAAGATAAAGAGTTGCATGCTCTTCTCACTGAGCTACTCAGGTGCCCTTTGAATCCCTATGTTAATTAGACTCTTTACCTTCAGTTCCTCCTGCTTCAATCTGTGTTCTGCTGTGAAATCTATCTTTCAGATTCCTGATTTAAATATATGTGCTCCCAACTGAATCATACATTGCTGGCAGAAGTGTCAAATGGCGTAATTAGCTTTGGCAAACTGTATGGCAGTTTCTTATAAAATTAAACATATACTTGTCCTATGACACTGTCTACATACCCAAGAAAAATGAGGCCATAGGTCTACAAAAAAAAGACCTGTGCAAGAATGTTTATAGTGCCTTTAAGCATAACAGCCCCGATCTGGAAACACCCCAGGTATTCACTAACAGGAGAAAGGAAAATGAATTGTGATGTATTCTTACAGTAGAATATTACTTGGCAATAAAAGAGAAGATCATGTGCAACAACATAAACGGATCTCAAAAACATGGCATTCAAAACCCCCAGTCTGGTCCCAGCCTTCATTAATTTCATAGCCTTTTTCCCACTAATTACACCATGATACATCTGTTTTAACTCTGAAAGATTGTCAGTGGTCTTAGGTCAGAAGCACTAAAATTGTGACCTACCCCTTCCTTTTCTCATTATAGCAAAACTGGTCTGCTTTCTCTTCTAAACAGTTCTTATTTCCAAACCTTTTCCCACACCATTCCTCCTACCTACAATAGCATTGTTGCTCTTCTCTGCTTATCCAAACTCCCCTCTTTGAAGGAAAAGTTCAAACCTACAGTTACCCACCAAAATGCCTTCCTTCTTTGGGATCACCATGCATTCACTCTGGGTACCACACACTTGACATTCAGTCACAAAGATGCCCTATATGGGTCTCTTTTTACCCATGTGTGTCTTCTCTTTCCAGTTACATTATCTGCTCCTTTAGGATGGAAACCATTTCCTTAGATGTTTTTACTTCACAAATTTCTCTGGTTGCTTGGTAGGTACTCAATATGCATATTGATCAACTGATTTAGCTTTCCTTTTATTTCTCAGTGATCTATGTAAATTCTAGAGTCTATTAAAGTTTTATACTTCTTACAGTAGCTTGTCCATTAGGGAGAGATTTCTTGGTTGTAGAGGCATCCCATGGACCAAGAGACCATTCACATTTGGCTGATGACCACTTGCTGCTTGACAGAGATTCATCTACATGTCAAAAGAAAATGTTACTTGTTATTGGTTGGTGAAGATACTTGCTTGGTTTCCCAACTTAGCCGAAAGATAATATTTTCAAATTAGGAGATCTGTACATTTTTCTCCTATGCCTTAACTTTTGTAATATCTTTCTCCAGTAGCCTAGCTGGGTCCCCAAGTCCACTGTTAAAATCACAAGTCAGAGTCCTTTTCTCTTCATTTTTAAATGACAGCAGGCAAGGGAAGCCTGATCAACTGAGATGAAAGCTGTTGACAGCCACTCTGATAAGGGATAGAGAACTTCATTACTATCATTATTTACATTAGAAAAGAAAACCAAAAAGAAAACAAAATATGAAACAAAAATAGAAAAAAAAGTAAACTCTGATGTAATCTCTTTCACCATCAAACAATCTTCTACTCTGCACAAACATACTTTCTCTTTCACTACCCCTGGAGCAGTCAGCTATTGTCATTACCTAAAATCTGAAGACTTTTATTAGAAAGAGTTAATCTTATTTGTTCTAGTGTTATCAGGGTTTAATCTTCCTTGGACTGACATTGCCACCTTGAAGTGCTGTTGATTTTCTCTGTCAGATCATCAGTTCAGTGCCCTTTCTGGCTATCTCCTTTTCTGCTGTAGCATGCATTTTCCTCCTACTTTCTCTCAGGAATCTTTGAACTAACACTTCTCTTTCCTTTGGTCACTAGCAGCCAGAAACATTTAAGTTAACTATTCATAACTTAGGGTACCTAACCCATAGTCAGACCACTTACTTAAGCATGTTAGAAGTATTTTATTACCACCAAGAACATTAGTTTACCTGGTTAAGCCACCAATGTGATAAGATATGGATGGGCCTTGCTGATTTTATTTTTATGTAACACATTTGTAAATCCAGCAGGACAATATCAGCCAGTATACCAACAAAGCAAATACTAGATCTGGTAGTAAAACTCAGGGTTGATGAGCATGGCTCAAGGATTAGAATCCCCCACCCCCTTTTTTTTTGGCCACAAGTAACACTGAAACTACCATGTAGGAATTGGGACTAGATGAGGCGATGTGAGACCAGGTTCATCAGCCTTCTGCAAGAAATGGCTGTCCTTATGTCTGTCCACAGATTTAATTGGGACTACTTTTTCCTTACTTTGGTTTGCTTTTTATGCCTCAGTTATTAATGAGTACTAAACACCCAAAAGGCAAAAAAGTTAACAGATTCAAATGTCAAAAATAAAAATCAGGTAGGCTGAGAGAAGAGAAAAAGGAGTCAAAATGGAGAAATTCAAAGCATAGGATGTTACCCTTTTCGTCATATCCTTTATTCTTCTCCCAAACAGACTTAGGCTAACCATATAGCTGATTCTACATTGTGTAACTTACGGGTGACTTTTTAAAAAAGCTATTAACCCTAATTTGCTATTAATTTTTTAAACTGAAATTAAACTTATAAGTGCAGAGTCACTGGATTATTGTGATAAACACATTACTGAAAAAAAGTTAAGTCATAAATAATAAAATTAAGGCAAATAACTCTGAGCAAACTTCTGGCAAGAACAGTCGTAGGTTCTCCAGTACATTCCCGTGTGGGGCTTACTGTATTTGAGGTGATGGACAGCACCTTCGACTGTGGCACTCGAGGTAAAACCAAGGGTTGTGGTTCACTCAGCACACAGGGGCTTTCTGAAACTGGTCTGGTGTTTGCAACATTACTCTCATCATCTGAACAAAGGAATAGAATCTGTTACCCATGGATATCTTCAGACCCACAACAAAACTGAAAAATAATCTTCCCTGAGAATTCATAATCTCAAGATAAGCTTCATGCATTTTTGCAGCCCAACTTAATACCACCTGCATGGTTCAAAAAACAAAACAAAAACAAAAAACAACCCTCAAATTAAGTTAAGTGGTTTCCAAGGCTGGTGATACCTACTTGTACCTGGCAGAAGGAAAAACAACTCTAGAGCAAAGCTGTCCAATAGAACATTTGGAGTTGATGGAAATACTCTACATAGGCACTGTCCAATATAATGGCCTCCAGCCACATGTGGCTCTAAAGCCCTTAAATCTGACTAGTGTTATAACCAAGCAGAATTGGAAAAGAAAAAAACTACAGAAGAGAACTAGAATTGCTAAAATTAAAAACAGAATTAATAGATTAGATACTGCTGAAGACAGAATTAGTGAACTAGAAGAAAAATGTGAAGAAATAATTCTGAATTCAGCACAGAGGAAAAATGAAAAATATGAACTACACACTAAAAAGATAATTTTACTGTATGTAAATTATAACAATTTTAAAAATGGATAAAGAAAACCACAATGAAACTTCCTTTTACGTGTTGTCAAAAAATTAAACATTGATTAGTAAGTACTGATGAGACTGTACACAGGAACTTGTGTACTTGTTAATGGGCATACAGAACTGGTACAATCACTTTGGATAATTTGATGTTATTTAGTAAGTTGATGATGCATATTCTCTATGACCCAGAAAACTGTATTGCTTGGTATATACCCTAGAGGAAATCTTACACATGTGTACTAGGAGAAATGTTCAAGATTGTTTATAGCATCATTGATCATAATTTCAAAACACTGGATTTGGGGATTTTAGCACTTCTCAACATCAGTTATAGCTCCAAAGCTCAACTCAAGATGAGGAATCATGTTTCTGAGTAGAATTGACATGCACTCTGGGTCTTCATTGTTTCTAAATCACTTCCATTATCATCATTTGGTTTCCTGCTCTGGTTTAATTCAGAGAAAGTATATCTTTTCTTGACAAAAATGTCCAGCGAAGCTTGTTTCTGCATTAGCAAATTAGGGTTAATAGTAACAATAATTATTCATTTTAATTACTAGGTTTGGTTTTAAAATATTCTTTCAAAGAAAGGGGGGTGCCTGGGTGGCTCAGTTGGTTAAGCATCTGACTCCTGATTTCAGCTCAGATCATGATCTTGTGTTTCACAGAGCCAAGCAGGCTCTGTGCTGACCATGTGGAGCCTGCTTGGGATTCATTCTCATTCTCTCTCTCCCTTCCCCTAACCCCCTCTCAAAATGAATAAATAAATATTAAAAAAATAAAATAGTCTTTCAAAATTTGGATTTTTAAAATGGCCTGATTAAAAGTTAAATGACTAGAGTGAGTAGGGGCACCTTAACTCAGTCCGTTAAGCATCTGACTCTTGATTTCGACTCATGTTACGATCTCCTGGTTTGTGAGTTCGAGTCTTGTGTTGGGCTCTGCACAGACGGTGTGGAGTCTGCTTGGGATTCTCTCTCTCTCTCTCTCTCTCTCTCTCTCTCTCTCTCTCCCTCTCTCCCTGCCCCTCCCTCCTCTCAAAATAAGCAAACTTAAAAAGAAGTTTAAATGATTGTGAAAACAACAAGTTACAAAAATAAATGTTTACATTTCCTCAAGGTTTTACATACTTTTGGGTTACAGTTGACAAACCTTAAAATACCACAAGTTGTCAAATGGTCCTATGCAGTTTGGCTTTGTTCCTCATGGAGGGGTAGAAAAAGTTGCTTTAGTAGTAGGGATAGGTTTGTACCAGCACCTGTAGGTTGGCTCTGATATCAACTAACCAACTGGTCCACACCAAAGCCAGAAATGCAAGAGTTATTTCCATACTTCAAGATGTTATTTTTAAAAAGTAATGATAATACCTAACATTTATTATACTCTTACATATTCCAGTAACTATTTTATATCCTCTAATATAACTCATTTATTCCTTACAGAACCCTATGAGAATTAGTATCATACTAATATAGATAAAGAAATTTAATCACACATATACAGAGTCTCTAGAAGTATACATAGCCACATCCACACATTTACATATGGTTTATGGCTGCATTCAAGGGCAGAGCTGAGTAATTGCAACAGCCCAACCTTGGTAAATTGTGAAAGGTGAAATGAAAGTTTTCTCTGATATCTCAATGCTTGATACTGAAAAATTGAAAGCGTTTCTTTTTTTTTTTTTTGTGATGAAAATCTTTATATATATATATTTTTAATATATGAAATGTATTGTCAAATTGGGTTCCATACAACACCCAGTGCTCATCCCAAAAGGTGCCCTCCTCAATACCCATCACCCACCCTCCCCTCCCTCCCACCCCCCATCAACCCTCAGTTTGTTCTCAGTTTTTAAGAGTCTCTTATGGAAAGCGTTTCTTTATTTATCACCAGTGTTTATTATTGAGTTGCCTGGCTGGTTCAGTCAGTACAGCATGCCACTCTTGATCTCAGATCGTGAGGTCAAGCCCCACATTGGTCATGAAGCCTACTTAAAATTTAAGAAAAAAAGTATTTATTATTATTGCAGTTTGGATATGACTGTGGACTTTATAATTTATGTCATATTATCAAAACCTTAAACTCATAAACCAGTTAGTTTTTTTATTTTGTTTTGTTTTGTTTTTAGAGACAGTGGGGGAAGTGCAGAGAGGGAGAGAGAGTCTCAAGCAGCTCCATACCCAGCACGGAGCCCAACATGGGGCTCAATCTCACCACCCTGAGATTATGACCTGAGCCAAATATCAAGAGTCGGATGCTTAACCAACTGAGCCACGAGGTGCCCCTTAACTAGTTATTTTTTAAAGGGTGTTGGTTCTAAACTCTAATACTAGCTTTAAAAGAGAACTTGACAAGCATACAACAGAGTGGCTTAAAAAAGAACCCACATAGACAGTATCAAATATAGCAAACATGGAGCAACTGGAACTCTCATGCAGTACTGAAGAGCATAAATAGATGCAACCACTTTGGAAAGTTTTTTGACAGTAGCCACTGAAGTTGAAATAGCATGTTTTATGACCCATTTGTGCTACTTTTAGTCATGTATTACATGCATAAAAGACACATACAAAAACATTCCTGCCAACACTATATGCTGGTAAACTGCAAACTACTCAAATGCCTATCAACAGTAAAATGTGATACAGTCATACAGTAGAATATAACAATGAAAATATTGGGGCACCTGAGTGGCTCAGTTGGTTGAGCATCTGACTTTGGCTCAGGTCATGATCTCATGGTTCATGGGTTCAAGCCCCATGTCAGGCTCTGTGTTAACAGGTCAGAGCCTGGAGCCTGCTTCGGATTCTGTGTGTCTCTCTCTCTCTGTTTCTCCCCTGCTCATGCTCTGTCTCTCTCTCTCTGGCAGGTAGGAGGGAGGAGAGAGTGGATGATGGGTATTGAGGAGGGCACCTGTTGGGATGAGCACCGGGTGTTGTATGGAAGCCAATTTGACAATAAATTTCATATTTAAAAAAAAAAAAAAAGGAAAAACAGAAAAAAATAAATAAAATTATTTCTCCATCAAAAAAATAAAATAGAGGGGCGCCTGGGTGGGGCAGTCGGTTAAGCGTCCGACTTCAGCCAGGTCACGATCTCGCGGTCCGTGAGTTCGAGCCCCGCGTCGGGCTCTGGGCTGATGGCTCAGAGCCTGGAGCCTGTTTCCGATTCTGTGTCTCCCTCTCTCTGCCCCTCCCCCGTTCATGCTCTGTCTCTCTCTGTCCCAAAAATAAATAAAAAACGTTGAAAAAAAAATTTAAAAAAATAATAAAATAGAAAAATAAAAAATAAAAATTGCCCCCCAAATTAAAAAAAATAAAGATTAAAAAATGTTTAAAAAAAACAATGAAAATATTACTACAAGCAAAACAGTTGAATTTAGCAATGTTGAGTTTAAAAAGACAGATGCAGAATAGTATATACTATAGCAATCCATTCTTATAAAGTTATAAAACAGACAAAATTAATCCTAATAGGATAGGGTTACTCTTCGGGATGTAGAAGTTTAGTAAGTGACTGAGAGAAAGCACGAGAGGGGTTTGTGAAGTGTTGGTAACATTTTATTCTTGGTCTGGGCACTGGTCATATATGTGGATTCATTTTTTTTTTTTTTTACTTGAAGTATAGTTGACACATGAGTTTCAGGTGTACAACACAATGATTTGACAATTATGTACATTTCAGAATTCTTGCTACTGATGCATAGTTACCATCTCTTACCAAAATTGTTACTATATTTTGAATATATTCCCTATACTGTACTTTCATCCCAGTGACTTATTGTATAACTGGCAGTTTGTATCTCTTAATCTTCCAAACCTATTTCATTTATCCCCCCACCACCCTTCCCTCTGGCAACCACTAGTTTGTTCTCTGTTAGTCTGTTTTTATTTCCCTTACTTTTCCCCTTTTATTTCCCTTTCCCATTTATTATTTTTTTTAATATTTATTTTGAGAGAGAAAGAGCAAGAGTGGGGTAAGAGCAGAGAAAGAGGCGGAGAGAGATAATCCCAAGCAGGCTCTGTGCTATCAGTGCAGAGCCTGACACAGGGCTTGAACTCACAAACCGTGACATTATGACCTAAGCTGAAATCAAGTGTCAGACACTTAACTGACTGAGCCACGCAGGCACCCCTATTTTGTTTTTTAGATTACACTTAGAAGTGAAACCATGGTATTTGTGTTTTTCTATCTTATTTAACTTAGCATAATACTTTTTAGGACCATCCATGTTGTTGGGAATGGCAGGATTTCTTTCTTTTTTTTCAATGGTTATTTATTTTTGAGAGACAGTGAGACAGCACATGAGCCAGGGAGGGACAGAGAGAGAGGGAGACACAGAATCTGAAACAGGCTCCAGGCTCTGAGCTGTCAGAACAGAGTCCAACACGGGACTCAAATTCACAAACTG